TTATTGGTATTTATAAAAAAAACAATACAACAAAATGTGTGAAAATTATGAGCATTTGATTGATATCTATGAAAGAGGGGTCAAAGACATGAGTGAATACATTGAATACACGCTACAAATAATGCAATTGTTGACTAATACTCAAACAGTACAAACGATTGTCACTAGAGATGACATAAAAAACCGCATCAACTAATGAAACCACTAATTAATCACTAATTAATCGCTAATAGACTTACGGTTTTCCAGACCAGCTTCTCGGTGGGGGATTTGGTTAGCCATCCCTCGCATACCAGTGACCCATTGGTGACGATATTATTGTTATTGATATTAGTATTACTATTAGTATTACTATTAGTATTATTATGGATAGTATTCATGTGGTGAATGGTATGGTGTGTGTGGTTGGCGTGACTCGCGTGCGAATCCATTGAATCGCTCGACAATCGGTACAAATGACAAGCAATACGGTTATCGATGCCGTTGATGGCAGGGATCAGCTCTTCATTCCTACGCCAAAACGAGACATAAAAAACTGTTGTTAGTAAACAATGGCACGAAAAACATTAGGCATTCAATAGCTGTCACAAAGTGTCTCACAATCATATGATTGACAATAGAGTGGCTATTATTGAGAGCATAGCGTGTAATGAGTGAAACAAATGCAATCCATAACACTATTATCAATTGTATGGCTAATTGTGGCCAATATATCAAACTAATGGCAAACTAATGATCACTGAGTGGGACAATAGTGGTGCTGATTGTGGCATCAATTGGCGTGTCATGTGTTTCATCTAATGGTCTCTCTCTCTCTCACACAGTCTCTCACACATCGACCATATTTGACGATTTAATACACATTCACTGCAACGCTATACTGTATAATACCATTGAATGCTATTTGTATTGAATTGAATGTAAATAACTTGTTGTATGTGTTGTGCCGTTCAATACATTGGCAACAGTGCTGTGAAACTGGGAGTCGACTCAACACTCACTCACTCTCTCTATAAGCCAGAGTCGACTCTCCCATCACTTCTCCCAATGCATTGCAACGCTATGAGAGTGTTGAACAAATACCGCAAACTATGAGTTCTTGCATAACATTTGTGTTGTTTTTATTATTTTGCAAACAATTTATTGTGTTTTTCATCAACAAATGGATTATGAAGCTATCGATTTCTGACTAAATTTCATGAAATTTAATGAGAAATACATTCATATGATTAGCAAACACTCATTCATTTGTGTGCATAACTAGACTAATGCCGTATTCATAGGCATATAGTCCTACATAAAGTCTATTCACGGCAAGTGTTTTGGCTATCAGTGAATAAATAGGGAGAAAAATGTTTGCATTTTTTTAGCACCAATTCTAACGCATAAACTATTGCATCAAGTTTTGTAACAATTACCACACGAATGCAGTTTAATGTAAATTAAGGCTAACTTTGAACTCATAATTGATTTAATAAAATCAATCAATAAAAAAAATTGAAAAAACAATTTTTCTCACAAAAATACCTCAAAATACAAAAATATTTAACCAAACATTTGAT